AGTTCCTTATCCACTGAGTGGTCCATGCATCCAAACCCACATGTTTCCAATTGCCCATTTATTAATAGTGCATGAACAGCACTATTAATAAATGCACAATTGAGCTCTGAATCACACGCGGTTCCAGTAAGAATACGCAGGAATTTGTTCTGTTGTGACGGTCTGATGGCAGAAATGATTTTCCATAATTGAGCTTTCTGTTCCTTAAAATAAGGACAAGGAAGAAAAATTACTTCTCTGGTCTGATCTGGTGAAGCTCATTGTGTGAGGGTAAGGCTCTTAACCAGCTCATGTGGATGTGTATCAAAATGTTTGGCTCTTTATCATACATGGCTATATGTCTTCTGGAAGAGAGTCTCAAAACAATAGTATGTGGGTCAAAACGGATTAGCTAAAATAGCAAGAGAATTTTTAGAACTGGAATCCAAATAATGACTTTTTTTAACATTAACATCAGAAAGGCAAACTGAGAAGTCACAGAAGTTTTCATTATCCTCCAAGCATGCAAAAATGGCTTTTTTTTTCTAGTGGCTTAAAGTCCTAGATCCTAAATGACAGTAGCTTAGCCTGCTTTCAGTTTTAATACTTTAAATCTATACTGTGAAACTAAAAAAAGAACCACGTATTTTATTGGTCTGTCATGCATTTGTGGGGAATTTTATGCAAGGATGATGGTAAAAACAGTATTTCACTTTTCTGTTGTTCTACTGTTCCTTAGAAGACAAATATTTTACATTTATTAAAAAAATCTTTACAACATTCTTCCTCTGCAAGTACACAGCATACTGCTTGTGCTGTTTTCCACAGAAAGTGTTCATTTTTCACTGAAAAGCTGTATGTATAAAAATCCAGCATGTCTCATGGGGTTTGCAGGCTGGATTTGCCTCATGAGATTTGTTCCTTATTTCATCTGTGGGCCACGGACCTGACATAACTTTCATCTTCCGTGGTGTACTGCTGCATTATTGCCACCGTGATATGCCATCTCTTCTGAACTAGAGATGTGAGATCTTTGTGCTTGATGGAAGATGTAACCTGCTGTGAAAGCCTTGTTTGCGATCAAGAATAAGATGATGAGGTATTGATGTGGCATTTAAAGATATGCATATGTCCACTGCTAATTCCTACCCCTCCCTCTTTTGGAGATGTTTTCCATGGTAATTCCTTCTTGGCTCTCAGTTTTTTTAGTTGATCCGATGCTCACCCTCTATTTGACAGTAGAGTATATCTAAACAGGAGGAGTGCCCATGTGGTTAACCAGGAGGTGTTGGGCAGCTCTTGAGTGACATGCTTCAGCTCCAGAAGTCTTCTGTTGATTAAACTGTGGAGTGCAGTGCATGTCATTAGATGTCATTAAATGTTAGAGGAGAGGAAAAACAGAGTTCAGAGGAAGCAACTCCTTTTTATCTTTCAAGGAATTAATAGCGTGTTGTAAGAAGTGCAATATAGCCTCAGGGAAATGGGGAGGGATACAGGGCCTGGCTGTGACATTCATGTTTTCTTGGTTGTATTCATCAGAGTGCAGAAAAGAGAGAGAGGGTAAGCCACAAGAAGCTTAGCTGACAGAAGAGCAACAAAAAGGAAGAAATGGCGTTGCAATCTTCTGACTTTATTGTTGTGTTAGAATAAATGAATGTTCAACTGATGGATTTAGTTTAATCCTATGGAGTAACACCAGGCAGTCATTAATAATCAGGAATAGCTAAAACGTAGCTGCCTTTTCACTGTTAAATACATCGGTTTGGCTTCTGCTAAAAAATGGATAGATGGATGTGAGCGTGTTGGAAGAACTAGAAAAGAGGCCAAAGGTTCTTTGACTGTCAGCAGTCATTAGGGCTGGCAGCCCAGAAAATTGCATTAGAATTACTGATGTGTGACTCTTTTCCTCTGTACTTGGCTATTTGTTAGCTTGCTGGAATCTAAATTTATGGAGCAGAATCATTCAGATGTTTCAGAGCTGGAACTTAGATAATCAGTTAAAGAAAAGGATGACAGCCTCTTGGGGACATCGCCCTTCTGGAATGATAGAAAAGAAATCAGAGTGTGTTTGAATGTGCTTGACTCCTGTAAGCTTAATCAAGACCTAAAAATATCACCTGTTTTCTGTGGATATTGAAGGACCTATCTTCTTTTTTGTCTTTCTATTTTTGCAAGATTCTACATATTGTTTATGTTCTTCTTCCTTATTCCCAAGAGCAGCTGTGATCCACTTCTACTCTCTGCAAAAGTAATTTCTTTAGGCTGAAAAAATGACTTCTTAAGTAAAAGCATTATTATTTGGTAGCTGTTTTTGTGTTTTACTCCATGCCTCTTTCTGTGAAAGACCTTTAAGTTAGATAAATCCAGAGCATATGTTTGATTTTAACTATGCCTTTCTTTGTTTAATTAGAAGACTACCTCATAAAAAACCTTCCTTCCTTTTTTAATTTTCATGGTTCTGTTTTGGAAGGTCAGACAAGAAATATTTGTGTAAGAATTGCAAGAAAAATATACATGCACGGAAGAAATACAGGGAAACAAGCTTGATGCTCATGACTTTGCATTGTAAAATTTGCCATTATTTTTCAGCATGGTTATGAATTAATTTATCTTGAGAGTGGCAGACATTTCATACAAGCTTCCGACCATTTCCTTAATCCTACAATAATCCTTTGTCCTGGTTAGTGAGCTTGTGCCTGATCTCTGTTGATAAGCAGCCTCAAACCTGAGGGGGGCTGTAATCTGGGAGTTCAGGGTGCTCCTGGGGGAAAGCGGAGATGTCCAAGGCCATTGTTGCTCTTCAGTGATCTGTAGCCAACAAGCGAAGCTGCTGACATGATTTACAGCCTGTGCCTCTGGTGCGTAGGCTTGAAAGGTCCATTCACAGCTAGTCTGAGACCAAGGTAACCTTGGTGATGCCTGGTCTAAACCTTCTGTGTGTTAACTCCACAGTGGGGACCTGCAGGTGACGGGAAGTGGACATTGCCCATATAGCACTGCCCAGAAAGCCATTGGAAAGGACAACTTCACTATGATTCCTGAAGGGGTCAATGGAATTGAGGAAAGAATGACTGTTGTCTGGGACAAGGCTGTAGTAAGTAATTACTTACTTTTATGGACTAAAAAGAAATTGAGTGTTGGCTGAATAATGAAACCCAGGAGACTCTTGGCCAGTACTTAAGTGACTTTCTAATATATTTCTGAGAATTCCCAGAGAGAGTGCTACTATGAGGTGAATTGGTATTTCAAAAGCCTTCTCCAGTTTTTAAACTCGGGGCTGTGTTTCACTTTTGACAGTGCAGCACAATCATGTTATATTAGATCTGAGGCTTCACAGACTCCACTGCTGAATTTTCCAGTTGTGACAGAGTGGATGCTTCTCAGAGATGTAGGAACTGGAGCAGTTTAATGATTTTGAAGTGGAACCCATATAAGTGTGATGAATGGATTGTTTGAATTTGGGAAGTGTCTCAATGTTTTTGAGACAAATGGATGTCAGTTGAGCCTGTGGCTAGACTATAAAATGCTTTGAAGGAGAACATTGCCTGGAATTCATACTGGCGTATTTTGCGGTGGGGTGCCAGTATAAGTTAGCAATTTTTTGATAGTTCCATGGGTCCTAATATATAATCATAGTCTCCCTCCACTGTCCATCTTCACATATGCACCCCCCCCCCACACACACACGCACTGCACTGCACTCAAATCTGTATTGGAAACTGGGAAGTGGCAGTATTTACAGTGCTCTCATGAGCACTTTTCCCAGACTGTGTTTAATAACCACTGTCTTCAAGGACCGCTATTGAGATTCCAAGCACAGAAGCAGGTTCAGATACCTGCCGAGTAGGAGCAAAGCGAGGAAGCAAGCAAAGTGCAGCCAGCCAGCGATATTTCTCTTTTGTTACTCCCACAAAGGGAAGGAGCTGCAGCAAGGGCTGCAATATGGCATTTACACGTGGTAACACTCAGTCCTGTGCCACCGAGTAGCTTGTATTTTGCAAATCTCATGTTTTACTGGGCAGGAAATAAGTGTTTTATTTAATATTAAAAAGTTTGGCACTGTTGTTCTTCCTTGGAACGTTGTTCTTGCTTGTTGTCAGGGAAGGCCCCAAAATACTGTACTGAGAAATCAAAATGCTGTGGTGTACAGCTGCTATTAAGCCATCACTGACAGTATAAAAAGTTCAATCAGTGGTGACATTTCTCCAGGCAAGGACTTTATAATTGGGGTTGTATTACTTAGATGTGTAGGATTGGTAATACTAATGGTAGAATGGACTTAATTTGTTCTAAATGTTTCTAAACAGTCTGAATCTTGATGTTTTATTTAATCTCATAATACTGATAGAAGTTTTTTGGTTTTAAAATCAATAAAACATTTAAATGGAAATTACTAGCAGTAGCAACAAAACACACTTAGGCATCAGTGTGTCAAGAAAGGTACCTTAGATAACTGAGCAACCTGATGCTATTGTCTGCACTAAGGTTTTATTGGCTGCTCTTTGGGATGCAGGAATAACACATTCACTTATTTGAAACTCCCAGGTAATGTGCCCTGTATAAACTCCTGCCTGATAAAACCTCTGTTTCATGCAACATCACCATATATATGAACCACATGCCTTCCAATATCTCCGTAATTTTTCAGCACTCTGAATAGTAAATCCCCATTTATAAGCACATTTTGCTCAAGTTACATTGTTTTTAGGCCACAGGTAAGATGGACGAGAGCCAATTTGTAGCTGTCACCAGTACCAATGCTGCCAAAATCTTTAATCTGTATCCAAGGAAAGGCCGGATTGCTGTAGGATCGGATGCTGATGTGGTTATTTGGGACCCTGATAAGGTGAAGACTATAACAGCTAAAAGCCATAAATCGGTAAGGAGAAAAGGAAAACCAGTGAGAAAAAAGAAATGTCACTGTTGCTTTTCAAATGTTGATCTAGTTCATGTGAACACCAAATATGTGGGATATGGAGGAGTGGGTCACTGCCTACTGCTCTTCTGAAATGGGTAAATGTTTCAGAAGATGAAAATATTGAAATCTTGCCTTGGAAGCACTGGGATCAGGAAGGATTTCTCACTTTTTTGCTTACCTGAAAAGCACCTGATATTATAACTCGCGCGATTACATCAACAGTATTCTAAATTGTAACAGATGATTAAATATTTTGATAACACAGCTCTGAGCAGCTTCACGGCTGGGGTTTTCTATTTCTTTCTAAAGCTTTGCTGCACATTTCTCTGCCCTTGGTACAGAGTACCAGTGACTCACAGTTGCTTTGATTTTGACTGTGACAGGTTTTATCTTGTGTTGTGTATTTTGAAGTTTTTACCTTACTGTTTGGTGCTTTGGTCTTTTATATTGGGGAATTCTTCCAAATGTTTTACTGGAAATCCAGTAATATGGCTTATATTAAAAAGACATAAACCTTTAGAAACCTTTAAAAAGTAAGCTTAGGTGATTCATTCTTTTTTTCTCTGTTTTGGGATCTCTCTGTATTTTCAAGAAAGTAATAATCACCTGCCCTTTAACCGTCTTTCCCATTCAGACTCGGGCTTTCCTGGTTCTTTCTGGGGTTTTTTTAGACAGAAATAGGTGTGCTGGCCCCTTTGAAATTCTCTTATGAAGTCACAGCACATGCATGGTGGGACCACGTCCTCTGAGTGTCTGGCAGCGGAGTCACAATTTTCCTTCTTAAGGCTAACACACTTCTAGAAGCTCTGGATAAATGTGGAAAGTACTCAAAAACAAATGGGATGAAGCCCTGATGGAAAGTGAGCAATGGAAAGGAAAAGTCTGTTCAGAGAGATTCTTTTAAATCATTTCATATCATAATGCATTGCTTTTCTGTCAGACAAAGCAATTTATGCACCTCGTAATGGCAGTTGTCTGAAAATATGACTACAAATACAGATTATAAATTACTAACTGAAAGAGATCTTGTACTGAACTTGCAGTGAATGTGTTGGTTGATCCCCAGGCCATTGAGTACAACATCTTTGAAGGAATGGAGTGCCATGGTGCCCCGCTTGTGGTCATAAGCCAAGGGAAGATTGTGTTTGAAGATGGAAATCTGCACGTAAATAAAGGAATGGGCCGCTTCATTCCTCGCAAACCTTTCCCTGAATATCTTTACCAGCGCATTAAAATCAGGAATAAGGTAATGTCAGATATTACTTAATCTTCTTTATAGCCATACACTCTTGGAACCACAGTAGCACATGGGGTTTTTTTAATATTATTGTGCTAAGGTGAGTCCATATTAGATGGACTATATATGACTAGTTCAAAACCTGACCTAAAAAACTAGTTCTTCTGCAAGTGTGAATTGATGTAACTTAATGAACTCCCTGAGCTTCAGTGGGTAGAGCATGTAATTGCCAGTTGGGCGTAATTGCCTTATGTCCAGCTGTACAGTCTTTTGAAGGGAGGTGGAATACTGATGAAATTTACTTTTAGTTAAAATTCAGGAAAAATATAAAGCTGCTTTGGGAGGAGTGTTAGCCAGAAGAAAAAACAGCATTTTAAATTGTTACTGAGCTTTGCATACTGAACAGCCACACTGCAGGGAGGAAAAGCATGCAGGCCAGAGATCCTCATTATATTTGGCATCTCTGAACTGTTGTTGGTGCATTTGCTGAGCTGAGTATTAGCAGCATTCATAGCTCACAAAATTTTTCTCTCATATTTAATAAAAAGCTTTTGGAAATTACCAAGATTAAGACTGGGCCACTTCTGGTTTTGAATTTTATCAGTGCTCCTCTGTTGAAAACCAGTTGGCTTGGCCCTAGTTTAGGGTTATTTGGAAACTGCTTTTTCCTACTGAGCAAGAAATTCACTGTGTGAGGACAGGTAACAAGACAAATTGACTAAACCCCATATTTTCTTCAACCAAACATATATCATAGCCTGTGGGGATGGCAGCTGAAATTAAGTCTACGAGCAGGTTGATATGTTTTATCTTTCATAATTTGTTACACAAATTCTGCCAATTGTGGGGTACAAAAGGTTAGCTCTTCTAATGAGAGAAGGCACTGTAAAAATCAAATGCATCTCCGAAAGTTTCAAAAAAAACTGATCAGTATTACACTTTTTTTTACATTATCCATTTAGATGACACAGGCCTTCTTTTCACACTCGCCTCTCAGGAGTTTAGCGGATGGGAGTGCTACATAAAGTAGATTATTATAATCTAATAATTATGTAAATATATCTGTATAATACTAAATTATATAAATTGTATAAAGTTATATAAAATTATATATTAATGATAACAATGTCATTTAAATAGTGAAAACAACACTTTAAAAACAAATATCAGAGAGTGGTGTCGTATGAGTTTGCACAAAAGTAACTGGGCCCAGTAACCTGCATCTTGCAGGTGGGCCTGAATTTTGGGAAAGACCTTTGATTTTAGATACTTAGGAAATCCTTACCTTTGGAGACTTAGGTCTGCAAAAGGACCACGAAATGGACTGATATTTTCGCTCTTGCAGCTCCCTCTGCTGCCTGCCCAGAGGAAGGGAGGGCAGATTCATGTCGGCATTTCTTTTCCCACTATGGAATTTTATCAGTTGGAAATATTTAGACAAAACCAGTGATGGGCATATCAGCCACCATTCCAATATGTCAGTGCACGACAAAGCAATATAGAAAAAGCATGTCAAACAAGGGGCTTCAGAGCTGTAGCTGGCACAAGATAGCAGTTCAGATTTATCCCTGGCACAGGGATAGCAGTATAAATTCTGCCTTTGTGGGTCCCTGTGAGATGGTTTCATTGCTGTGATCTGTAGCTGCTCCCTTCTGGGCATTAGTATTGGCTCAGCCTGTGAGACGGTGGCTCTTCTGAGCCTGATGTCCTCGTCACTGAAAGCAAGGAAAAGGCACTGATTTCTGTAAGAGCTGATAAACCCCTGTGAATAGTGTCCTTCCTATAGGGTATTTTAATTTCACTGTTAACCTCTTGGGGAAATGGCTCTGAAACAATAATCCTGTAAACCACAGATTTCTGATCTTTTTGATGAGCTTTGGATTCTGCAGTTCAGTGGCTTCAGGCTCCTCCTGAAAATTAAAACTGTTTTTAAAAAATAGTATTTCCTAGATTCCTGTGATTTTAAAGCCAGTGAGTCTGTTATGATTGTCTTTTCTCATATTCCTTATAGCAAGTGTACAGGGATAAAATACGGAGACTTCAGACTGAAATCAGAGCCCAAATAACAGATACTCTATTGAGAAATAATGGAAGATGGGTCCCATGCCACAATCTAGTGTATAACTGCTTTTCTAGTTCATGACAAGAAGTGGAAAATTTTGAAATTTTAATTTAAAAATTGCCACCACTTTTCAATGAATTCTAATGAAGATAATGATTATTTCACAGAGAGGAGCAGAAAAAATACAGGTAGGAGTAAAATTGCTACAATCAGTATAGGAGGTATCAGTCCCAACCAGAGTGGGATTCAGCAGCTGAACTAACCCGGCTGAACAGCCTCTGAATGGAGAGAGAAGAGGTGATGGTGACTGATATTACTTAAAATAAAGATCTTAGGTCAGATCTCTCCTTTGAATCCCATGGACTGTGAAAGATGCCTAATAAGGATCTCTCTCTTATAATTTTTGTATATGTATATATATATAAAAATGAAAGGAGGAGGCTTTAGAATTTCCTTTATATATAAAGCTGACTGTAGCTTTGATGAGAATGCAAATGTGTTTTTACTTCAGCTAATGCAGAATATAGCTCTGTGCTCCGTGGTCTCTGCATGTAGGGAGGAGTATCAATAGGGAGTGTTATCAGAGCATTCAGTGTCTGGGTTTTTATTCTCCTCTTGATCTAGGTGGGAGGACTGCAAGGAGTCTCCAGAGGAATGTATGATGGGCCTGTGTATGAAATTCCAGCTACGCCAAAATACGCAACTCCTGCACCCTCAACTAAATCCTCACCTGCCAAAAATCAGCCCCCACCAATCAGAAACCTCCATCAGTCTAATTTTAGCTTATCAGGTAAATCAGTCTGACTCACCAGAAATGTTTTATAGACTTGATTATGGATTATTGGTGATAAATTTCAATTATAATTACCTGTTTAATCAAATATGAAGGGTGTATATATATATATATTTATATATACGTATATGTACACATACACTCATATATATATATATAGTCACACACACATATATATGTTTTCATGCATTCTTTATCTAGGAATATTTTACAAATTACCAAGTGTTCTGAATATTTGCAATCTATTTTTTTTCTCTGCATGCAGCCTTTTAGTATTATTTACCTGACCCATTGCAGTTAGCTGAGGTCTCTGGCTGATGTGGCTGAGGGCCCTTGGTGGTATGTACGGCTGATGGGATTTGTGTCTGGTGCAACTCAACGTGGCTCAGACATCTAGGATTTGCTTCTTGCTGCATCTCTAGAAATTGCTAGACATGGAGACCTCAGCTGTCCTCATCCATGGTCAGCAAACCACGTGCAGAAGCTGTTCATATGCAGATTAGAGTATTTCTGGTCCTCATTGCTCTTGGTGCTCAAAATATTTTCCATGGTATATAAGAAACAGACTGGAAAATCATCCTTTGGGGTTGTTGGAAATAATTCTTGTAATTTGAAGATAATTACAAGTGTGTCAAATCCTTATCCTTCAGAAGTCTGCAGCCCAGTTGGTAGATAAGAGGCTCCTTATGATGTTATGAAAATCACTGGATTTTCTCCTTTGTGGGAGCCAATGGTGGATCTTTCATCCCTGAGAGATCCTCTCTTTAGAAACTAAATGAAACTTCTGGAAGAAGGAAAGCATAAATTTTAAAAACCCTTGTGGTGAGTTGGAATATATTTTTTGCCCATACATCTGTGGCCATGGTGAGCACATACAGATATCACAGAATTACAGAATGTTAGGGATTGGAAGGGACCTTGAAAAATCATCTAGTCCAACCCCCCTGCCAGAGCAGGATCACCAACAGTAGGTCACACAGGAAGGCATCCAGGCAGGTTTTGAATGTCTCCAGAGATGGAGGTTCCACAACCTCCCTGGGCAGCCTGTTCCAGTGACCTGTCACTCCCACAGTGAAAAAGTTTTTTCTTATGTTTACATGGAACCTCCTATGCTCCAGCTTGCACCCACTGCCCCTTGTCCTACTGTTGGACATCACTGAGAAGAGCCTGGCTCCATCCTCCTAATATTCGCGCTTTACATATTTATAAACATTAATGAGGTCACCCCTCAGTCTCTTCTCCAAGCTAAAGAGACCCAGCTCCCTCAGCCTTTCCTCACAAGGGAGATGTTCCACTCCCTTAAACATCTTTGTGGCTCTGTGCTGGACTCTCTCAAGCAGTTCCTTGTCCTTGAACTGAGGGGTCCACAACTGGACACAATATTCCAGATGTGGCCTCACCAGGGCAGAGTAGAGGGGGAGGAGAACCTCTCTCGACCTACTAACCTCACCCCTTCTAATGCACCCCCGGATGCCATTGGCCTTCCTGGACACCAGGGCACCGTGGTGGTTCATGGTCATCCTGCTGTCCACCAGGACTGACCCCCAGGTCCATTTCCCCTGTTCTGCTGTCCAACAGATCTGTCCCCAACCTATACTGGTACAAGGGGTTAGATGTACATCTATGTAAAGCAAAAAAAAGTGCTTACAAATTTGATCTCTGATAATAATAACTGATAAATGGGATTTCCACAAGCATCTGAAACTGTGTTTCACAGTCTATTGCTGGATCTGGGTATTACCAAGGTGTCTAGTGGTACAAATTTGATCTGAATCAGGCAGATGCACATTACTGTGTTCTTAGGAAATTAAGCAGAACCAGAGACTACAGCATTTAAAATGATCCTGCTCTTTTATAGTAGTCTTACATTGCCTTTAGGAAGCTTGAGTGTGGTCAGTTAATATCTAGTCTGGCAGAAAGCTTGCTGTCACCTTAAGCTTAACCTTTCTGCACTCTGAAGTGGGTGTGAGTTTACATCAGCTCAGTGCTACTTTCTGGATGGATTTGTGATCACTGACATGAGATTTACTGTACTCTTAACCCATGGCCTCGGTGGCAACAGCTATTCTAAATCAATGAGACAGGTTTGAAAAATACACTCTGTACTTAGCTGATTTTTTTTTTTTCTTTTAGTTTTAACAGCAATATTTTCTGTCAGGGTCTGATCTCATGAAGGGAACCCAGTCTGTAGGCTGTCATCCCTGCATGGGCTCGTCTTCAAGTCAGTGGAAAACAATTTCCCACATGGGCTGAGCATCAATCTGATCCCAGACATATAATCTTACACTTCTCAGTGAAGACAACTGGAGCTAGGCACAGAAATGTGCCTTGAAGGTCTGTTTAGCCCTTCAGTCAGGGGTCTGGCTCAAGAGAAATCAGCTGATGGTGATGTGAGGGAAGCATACCTGGAACTAACCAGGTAAAATCTCATCACTACTGTTTTTTTTTCCTTTTCATAGCTTTGTTTCCTGATTTTCTGTTGTTGCAGGAGCTCAGATAGATGACAATAACCCACGCCGTACTGGCCACCGCATCGTGGCCCCTCCTGGAGGTCGCTCTAATATTACCAGTCTTGGCTGAAAAATGATGATGGACAGAAACACAAAGATGAAGGATCATGGGAATAATGTCTGTTACCTTCAATATCTGTGTTATTGAACCCACAGTTTTATTTGGTACTAATGGAAATAAAAAACAAAATGTCTTTCTTTTTTATGTATAGGAAGAGGTGATAATAGTGTGGTGTGTTTGCTTGGAACTACTTGCCTCACAATTGTGCTTTCATGCCATAGTCACCTTAAAGCATGGTGCTTCCATTGCCCCTTTAGTGACTACAGGTTTTAGCTTTGTCTCGTAACTGAATGATGGTTCCTTTGCACCCTTTCGCTGTATTAGAGTAGTTAATGCATGTTACTGAGTTATTTATGCAAGTTGCATTCTGTGAGTGAGTCCCTTTAGAACATGTTGCCAACAATTGACTAGACACAATGCCAAGATTAATGTCCGTATTTGAGAAACGCCACCAAAAACACTTATGAAGAAAATGGCCATCTTGAAAGTATGCAGTAGAGTAGTATAGGCAGCTTCTGTTTCATCTTTAATTTATTATAAACCCAAGAAGCACTTCTCTCAGATACAGAAAATCATCAGGACACATAATGACAAATGGTCTCTGTAGCACCTGTCTGTTCCCACTCACCATGTTCCAAGTCTGTGTCCTTCCTGTTTCCATTTTAGACAGAGCCATAATTTATACATACCAGTGCCATTGCCACCCCTGCAGGGATTTCTCCACCTGGGCAGTAGTGCTCTCCTTCTGCATGAGATTTTTGGTACTTACAGATAATCCAAGTTACCGTCGGATTTTTAAAGTTTTTTGTACAAAGTTTTTCCTTTGTAATCACATGCATTTTTACTTACTCTACCGTATCAAGATCTACTAGTCGTGGTTCAATTTCTGAATTCAAAGCTTGTGAAATAAAGGAAATGAATTGATGGTAAGCGTCTCCCTCTGCTTTCCAGTGCTGTTGCTCAATGGTTGAAAATTTAGAATGGAAAAACTCAAGAGAAATTGTCTTTTAGATTGATATCATGTGAAAGAAGGAACCACCTTAGATCACAAGGGGTGTTAAATGTATAGATGTCTGTGTATGCATACTATTAACATGCCATAATCTGTCTTAATTAAACAGACCTCACAGTAAAACTATACATTGTTTACAAAAAATACAAATGTTTGCATTGCAGCTGCCTCAGTTTTGGCCAAATGAGACCTACCTTATCTTTCTCCCAGGACCTTCAAGACTGCATCTAATTTTCTTGAAATGGTAATTGATTGCCATCATCTTCACCTTTAATACAGAACCAGTATGCAGTGCTCCAGTTTGACCTAAGCTGTATTTGAATTCATACTGTTTGTCTCTGCTGACTGAACCAGGACAGAGAAGCCTGAGGACAACCTGCCCTGGAATAACCCACAGCCTCACAGGCAAAGCAATCCTGAAATGCCAGGTCTCCATCTCCACTGTCCTATTGCAACCCACTTGCTCTGAGTGTTGACAGAGCCAGCAACAGTTCTGGTAATCTAACCCTGCAGTAGAAATAAAGCTGGTTTGTCAAACTATGCAGCAAATTTGACATAGTGTGAAAATTTTGGAACTGCTGGTTACAATTTCCTTAGCAATTTTCTTGGGTATGTTTGTGCAGGTAGCAATAATTGCTCACCTCTGAGTAAAACTACTTGATCTGGGAGGCTTATCATGCTTGAGGACACAGGAGTGATCGTTGTGTAACTAGTATTTACAGATTCCACTTTTCCTATGTGCTAAACAACATCCTACACCAAAGAACCCTTTGCCTGCAAGCTAGTCAAGATCCACTGCTGTTAACATGCATTTATGTTTCCACAGTGAAGTGTCCGTGAATAAACACGTGTGGGTGTTTGTGAGGCAATTCATGGTTCAGAGCTTCTGTGCAAACAAGACTCTGCTTGTCAGATCAATCTAACTCCACTATGATTTCTCTGAGGAGAAATAGGCTTAGTGTGCCCGTGATGCCTGTGGCCTGAACGCTGCTCCCATGCCACTGCTGAGGGACAGCCTGCAAAAAGCCTGTGGGTCCTGTCCTGTGCCTGGGTCTCTCCACTCTGGACATGCAATAATACCTGGATGTGATTTAAGCAGCACTTTTATTGGAGTACAGGTACCTTACGCATGGTCACCAGGTGAAGTGAAGGATGCCTCACTTGGATGGTTACTGAGATGTACTGTTGCAGAGCTGGCACACACTATGCCATGCTCACAGGGAATTTCAGAAAAGCAAGGTAAGTGATGCTTCTCGTACCACCCGGAGGTACATTGCTAACCTATCCTTAAAAAAATAGTAACAGCAAATAAAATCTGGATTAGCTGATGATCCTGAATATGTCTGGAGAATAGGAGACTATACTTGAGTTTGGTCCCTTGTAGGTGCACCAAACTGGGAGATGTTCAGTTTGTGAACTTCTCGGTGGGAACCTGCTGTTATCTCAACTACAAGAAGAAAGCAGTGCAAAGCTTTCACACTTTCTGAATCATCAAACTTCTAAAAATTTGCAGCAAGGCTACAATCTTTTAATACCTGATATAGTCCTGATCATGTAAAACTGGCTTTTCCCTATTGCCATTTGCAGACCCTTTAAAATTGGTCCTTATGACCAGTCTGAGGACTGTCCTTGTCAATCAAGTGCTGTGGAAGAGAAGGCTGGACCCATGGATTGTTTCCTGAGTGATAGTTTGGACCAGTTTGTCTTGTGTTTGCTACAGAGCAATGCAGTTATATGTCTGAATTTTAGTGTTTGTAGCAAAGCCTGAGAATTGTGATGGTAAGACTGTACCAAAACTGGCAGCTGTCCCAGTCACTGAATGTTTTTCTTAGCAATACACTGGTCTTCATCCTTAAGAACTAAAAATGCAGACTGCACCAGGTCAGATGACCTTGTTCTCTGGGTTGTGGTAGCCAATAACACAAGCTTAAGAGAGGCTGGAAGAAAAGAGCAAACATAAAATGCTAATATTCCTCTGATTATTTCCTTAATTTCCAGCACCTTGTAATTTCTTGAGAAGCAGAATTGTAGAATCATTAAGGTTCAAAAAGACCGCTAAGATCATCAAGTCCAACTGACAACCCAGAACCACCATGGCCACTAAACCATGTCCTACAGTGTCACGTCTATATGTTGGGTTTTTTTTAACATCTCCAGGGATAGTGACTCCACCACTGCCTGGGCAGCCTGTTCCAATGCTTGATCACTCTTTCAGTAAAGAACTGGAATTCTTTAGTCTGAAGAAGAGGAGGCTGAGGGGAGACCTTATTGCTCTCTACCACTGCCTGAAAGGAGGGTGTATTGAGGTGGGTGTTGGTCTCTTCTCTCAAATAACTAGTGATAGGATGAGAAGAAATGGCCTCAGTTTGCACCAGGGAAGGTTTAGATTGGATATTAGGAAAAATTAGCAGCATCTTTGTACTCTGTAGCTGTCAGGGGATTTTTCTGCTATAAATTTATTCACCAAGGCCCTTTTAAACCTGTGTAAAATCTTGGCATTTATGGCTTCCTGGAGCAAGGAGTTGCACAGCTTAATGCACTATGACAACGTGCCTCCTTTCAACTCTGCCATCACTGTTAAGCTAGGCTAGTTGACACAGCTAATTCTTGCCATGCAGACCTCCCAGTGCAGAGGCAGTTCCCAGACAGCACAGGGCAGGCTGGGCAGCTGCGCGCTCAGCCCTTCACAGTCTCTGCTGAACACACGGAAGATGCATGTGTTCAGATGGAAGAAACATGACCAAAAAGTTGTTGTACGTAAGGATCTCTGGATGTCAGAATGGCTGCTAAAGACTGTCTTGCCCTCAGTGCTGTTCTGTGTTGGCTCTGAAAGAAGCAGTCACATGGATATAAATGGAATTGAGGAGCTAGAGGTAGGAAAAAAAAAAAATCACTCTGTAACGACTATGACAGGAGATGGGAGTAAGATCTTCAGCATCAGGATCCAGCTACTGACTGTTACTATGGTTGAAACAAGATAACATAAAATACAACACAACACAAGAGAGACATGGAGTAGCTAGAACAAGTCCAGAGGAGGCCACGAGGATGATCCAAGGGCTGGAGCACCTCTCCTATGAGGACAGGCTGAGAGAGTTGGGGTTGTTCAGCCTGGAAAAGAGAAGGCTCCGGGGAGATCTTATAGCGGCCTTCCAATACCTGAAGGGGGCCTACAAGAAAGCTGGGGAGGGACTTTTCATAAGGGCAGTTAATGACAAAACAAGAGGAAATGGGTTTAAGCTGAAAGAGGGCAGGTTTAGATTAGATATTAGGAAGAAGTTCTTCACTGGGAGGGTGGTCAGACACTGGAACAAGTTGCCCAAGGAAGTTGTAGATGCCCCCTCCCTGGAAGTGTTTAAGGCCAGGCTGGATGAGGCTTTGGGCAACCTGATCTAGTGGAAGATGTCCCTGCTGATGGCAGGGCGGTTGGAACTAGATGATCTTTAAGGTCCCTTCCAACCCAAACCATTCTATGATTCTATGATAAATTTGAAGAGTGCTTAACTGAAGAGCAACTGTTGTGAGCTTCCCTTGGCCTTTGCTACACTTGTTTCTTGGTCTAATAAAACTCTTTCTTGTTCAGTATCTGCACCACTGACAAGGAGCCATGTCGAGTGCCATGACATGCACGAAATCTGCACATGATTTTAAGCAGGACAGTGAATCCATGGAATAACTCAAGGAGACTGAGAAGGTGGTAAAAGGGTCAAGAGTAGGGGGTGTTTTGCCAGGAAGCTAATGTGACTTTGTGGGAGAAAAGAAGAAATACCCTGTTTGTAGAAACTCCAGCACAGGGATGGTAGTGGACAGAGCAGGGAGGTGGCTGGGGACAGTGGGGACTCGTAGGGGTCCTGCCAAAAGCCCGCCCCCTCCCTGGCTCCTTCCCGGGCTCCCTGCCTGCCACAGCACCAGCAAGGGGAAGAAAACCCTGCTAGCTTCCCGGGAGAGGGCACTGCTGCCCTGCTTTTGGGATAATCTGAGCCCTTCCACGTTTTCTAAGGGAGAGAAAAAGCCATTTCAGTCCTGCGTAGCCAAAGGAGTCATAGTGTGGCTGGGCAGACCCTGCTCGGGTAATTAAAGACCCTGCTTGGGTGATTACACTGCATCCGAACTGCGACGGGAGCTGCTGCTGCACCCCGTGGTTTAAAACATCATCAACTCTCATCGTAAAAGCTTCCTTCTTGCTATCTATATAGAGTGCACTGCAGAATTAAGATGTTCAGATATAAACAGGCTGCATCCATTTAAAAAAAAAGCCCAGCAAGCAGCAACTAAAATGTTCAGATCAGAACGGCAGAGAGACTATAAAGAACAACTGCTGAAATACCAGAATCAAATGCTTGAAGTGCTACAATTTAGAAAAAAAAGTATTTTTACAATGATTGAGGTAAAAACTGTCCCTTTAACAATTGTGCATAACATGCCAGGGAAAGTCACTTTATCTGATGTAAAGTGCATAACTGATGCAGTATTTTCCATCATGTGCCAAAGGACAGACTTTTAGTTAGCAAAAACATATGTTAATTTTAAAAAGACAGAAAATTTTCATTTCACGAAAGCTGTAAGAATCCTTAAGTGGGGCAATTTATTACACAATACAGGTGCTCTGTACAGCCAGTAAGAACTAGCTGCTTTGCATAACAAGAACTCCCATGAGAAACATAATGAGTGTAACAAATTATGTTGGAAACAAAAGAGTGTACTTAAGGAAGAAAACTAGAAACTGCAATATAAAGAATGAAACAGTAAAGCGGTTTTGTCTCATTCTTCCTAAAAGTAATAATTTGAAATCTGAGACAAATGCAGAGAAATACATTTATAAAAATCTTTGTACAGATTTAAAAAAGCATACATAGCCTTGGAAGCACGAGAATATAATAAAAGACATAACAAATGTAATCTTTTGATGTATCAATACCACCTGAAGTCGGCTTACATATTCTTTACATTTCTATCTATTTTTGTTAGTCCAAAGCAGCAATCACAAAATATTAAGACCTGATCTACCAAATTTAGGCCTCAAAAGCAAATGGTACATCACTATTTTAATGAAACCTTACTGAGATACACCGACCTGGGCAACCAGCTTATTGTGGATCTGTTCTCCTACAAGTGTGCTTTCCTCAGGTGTATTCCTAATCTAAAACTATCACCCCTTCACATTCCCCAAACGATCTGGAGGAGCTTATATTAAAGACATCCTTGTTCTCCTTACCAAAACCAAGTGGTAATGCTTTATTAACAGCTAAAGGAAGTCAGGATTGATTCTTGGTCTGTAGCTAAAGAACATTTCTTGGTTATTATTGATGTTCTTTATTGTTCCTCAGTAAAGCAGCTCAGTAAGTATTTATAGCTGCTGAGATTCCCCAGAAGACGGCTTTGGTACTCTGTGTTCAGACAGTTCATATAAATGCTTTTACTACCTGTTGCCCCGTTTTTTTAGCATCTTTGAGTTTTTCCTTGGTTCAGTCTCCCCTTCATGTGGACTCTGTAACCTGTCTCTGAAAGAAATAAACAAGAAAAATAAAACAAAATTCTAGACAGAGTTTTTCAAATGTTACAATTCTCTCTAAAACTCAATTAATTTTCATAAGAGAAGAAAGGCACTTGCTATGTAATTATAACTTCTGTACTCACTGGTTTCAGCTGCCCCTTTTGAGGCTGCCAAAACAAAGTTGCATAAAGATAAACGTTCCTTTGTTGTGTCCCTGTTCCCTACACACGTATCCCTTGTTGGCTGTGGGAAAGGAGTGTGTGAAATGGGTTGATGCCATCAGGGAAAGGAGCCATCTCCTGAAGTCAGTCCCAGGCTGAGGTCACTCAGGGGATAAATACTTTTCCCCAAAGGCCTGTGGCTCCTGAGAACCAACCGTTTGCATTGCCTGTCAACAGGATTTTCTCTGCTCAATATATCAAGCCCCAGCAACCAGCTGGCTGGTTTGATCTGCCCGTAGTAATCAGCTGGCATGGTTTTGTAGCCATTTCTTTCAGGTTTGTAGCCATTTCTTCTCCTCTAGTTAGCACCCCAGCATAAGCCAACTGAAACATCTATCAAGAACATCATTGTTAGAGCTGCTACCCTCATCAGCCAAAGACTGGCGCTTGCCTTTGTTCCTGAAATAAAGGTGGAAGTTGAAAGCCTAAATGCCACAGACCATATTTTGGTTGCTACATGTCAACCTAGTTCCATTGGATTCACTTGTCTGTGCTGATTTATGCTGTCTGTGACTCAGGTTTTAAGAATCTAATTAAGGGATATTTGGGAACAGTATTTCTCATTTCTCTAACTAAAATCAAAGTTATTCATAAAATAGGTAACAGCACAGACAAGCAACCTTGGATGGTTTTCCTAAATTTAAAAAAAGAATATGGGGAAAAAAAATGGTCAAATACATGTGAGAAGTAAGCATTAGGAAGAAGCTCAGCTAGTGCAGATGTTATATTTTGTGTTTGACTGACATACCTGCTTATGAAGTAGATGATTTTGTACTGTTTTTTATTCTCATGCCCATTTTTTTTAGCCTCTACTGTACCTGCATAAGCCAGAAGTCAGTCCAGGGGGCTCCTGAATATTTTCATGAGAATTATCTTTGTCTTCTGATTCTGATGACCGAAAGGTCTTTATTTTTGAGCTTGTTTTTTCCCCTGGATTGCCAAATGCATGAGGATTAAAAAAAAAAAAAAAAATCACTGATAGCAGAGCTTGTTTGGTTTTGACTAACCTAAAGCAAAAATATATACTCTAACACTTCATACATATACATTATTTTTCCAAAGAAATCATTCCACTTTACATTAGTCTAGAATATTGGTTTTTCACTATCGGTTAGTTCTCACAGAGCACACATTGAACTTCCATACTTGCTGAACACTGAAGTTTCCATAAGGTGAAACAGTTGAAAGCCCTATCATATATTTTTGTGGCAAGCAATTGAAAATGGCTTTTTTCCTGCCAGCAAACAGAAAAAAATTCACTTCATAATTTCATGTGATTTGAATCAGAACAATCTGATGTTGAACAGTGACTGTTTTTAGGGCCCTGAGCTAAGCTCCCACATGTCCCTGGGGTCATGGTGCACACCAGGACAAACAGCTCCACACACTTGAGAAAGAACCAATTGGGAAGAGAGACTTCAAAATTGTCCAGGTGAGTGAGCTGCTTTTCCCTTTCAGGCACCTATCTCACCTTTCAGCATCTTTCAAATGTAATGTCAAATGTTTCACTCTGATAATGACAGCAGAATTGCACGGCTCAAAGGACAAGAATTTGCATGTTCTGCTCCAAATATAGATCAGGGTACACAACTGCTATTCTGACAGTTTGTACCCAAGTATCTCTTGCATAACAAATTAGACTAATTTGTTAAAACTGCAGTAAATTCATATAAATATTTCAAATTTCCTGATTCAGCAAGATTTTACTTCTGAGCATGTGTATGGGAAGGCCAATTCTTCTATACTACCAGGAGAATGACAACAGGATGATTCAGCTTTGCTGTCCTCCCAAAGATATAGTGAACAAGGTGAACAGAGTCCTTTTTAAAGAACATGATAAAGACATGAAATATAATTCTGGTTTGAAGAAAGCAAAGCCTTACCTCAGTGGACACAACGTGATCTATTGGCTAAAGGACTGCTCTGGAGTAAGAAAAAGTGACACTTGTGGCTCTGCTACTGGCAGGCTGGGTGACCTCTGAAGATTGCCTTACTTTTCTATATCCTGATTAGGGAAATGGCACTGATGAAAAAATCTCTCCTAAAACTCTGTCGTGTTATATTGCAAAATATACACTGATATGTGGGATGATGTGTGTTTTAAAACAATCCAGGGTTGTACCAACCTGCCAACTTGCTCCTTTTTGAAGGCTTCTTCACCACCACTGGAACTCGGGCCAGCGCAGCCAACTCACTCACAAAGTCCTGCTCTGCTTCCTGCACACAAGGATAAACCAGAAGTCAGTTAACACAACACAGCTTGATTCTGGGTTATGTTATTCTACACACAGCATGACAAAAAAGGCGTATGTCATTGCAGAAACACAGGAAACAACAGAGCTAGTATCACTGATGTGTTTCTTACTGAAAAGAGATTCTGTGAGGAGAAGTAACTCTAGCTTCTCAGCAGCGCTTGACATGAACAGGTTGAGAGCATGCGTGTGATGGGCAGCAGGAGATCTGAAGTGAAACCTGGCTGGTCACATCTACACTGCGTTTCAGCCTGATCCCCCTTGTCATGGCCATGAACTCAAGCACACCAGTAGGGAGGCTGGATAGTCCCCATATGATTAGGCAGAAATGTTCAAGTAATCAAAAAGTGAATCTATACTTGCAACAGACATGATACAGAACTGTCAATAAGCAAGACAGAGAATATAATGTGTCTGTCTCCCCCACCTTGCCCCAAGTTCCAAGTTCTTTTTGTAGGAAATATAATTGTAAACTGTTAACTGTCCATATGTGTTACTGGGTTTTGAGCCATAGCTTCAATCATGAAGATAGTGGTGAATCTTTGCACCAGTTTCAACTGGGACAGCAAAGAGACCCTTACAACCTGTCCGATGTTTCACCATAGACTGCTTCAGATCCCTGAGTCATTTTACCCTGATTTACCTTTAGCTGATTCTCCAACTCAGTTTCTAGGTGATGCAATCCCAGCAGCTTTTGTTTCAGAGACTCCAGACGAATTTGCTGCTGCAGTTCAAACTGAGACAAAACCTTATTTTGCTGCAGCACCATCCTGGCAAAAGGAAATTTAAAATCACCTATGTTCAGATCAAGGGAGGAACACAATCCTGGCAAAGTGTATTTAGATTCTGTAGCAAGAAAGACTCATCAACAGTATCAGTGCATCCAGCTTCTGCTAGGACAAACAATTTTGTGGTAGATTTTTAGTTAGTTTTACTTAATTTTAATAACTTGCTTAGTTTCTCTATGCAATATAAGCTCCTTTCAGAGGTAGGAATTGCAGCAGGAGTTTAGGTTGTCCATGTCTGGACTTTGAGACCTGGAGTTCAGCTCTAATGTTGAAGCCTGCTTTCAAAACCATTGTACATTTCTAAAGTCAGCTTTACTGTCTGCTTGCCAAAGAGACAAGCTGCTAGAGGATCAGGTGTGAGGATAAGGGACTAAGAATTAGGCATTTCATTCAGGGTTCTTCAGTACCAGGTTGAGACTGAGCCAGAAACATGGTAATTCAAAACTTGGCAACTGGGAGCACTGGCAACTATATTCTTCATTTATTTAATTTTGCTGGTTAAAGATTAATATTAATATAGTAGAACCTGAATGACTGCAACTTCGCTGAATCTGTATTTCTTCTGTTCTTTTGCCTGATCTACCTTGAAGCAACACTGTCAATCACCCATCACATTCCTCAGGGAAGGAGATAACACAAATTGTTTCTGACGTCTACACATAATGAAGTTGCTACTGTAATGGTCAATGCTTACAGAAGGTTAGCTTTCAAAATTTCCTTTTTGAACTCACACTCATAACCTTGCACCAAGGGCAAAATGAAAAAAAAAAATCTATGTTGGGTTTAATAGAAGTTAGATGAATTAATGGAAATTTTGTCATTAATTTACACAGGACTGGGATTTGACTGTAAAAGAAATCATAATGTCAATAGGAAAATGGGTTTGATTACTAATGTTTATGAGACCAGCTCCGATACTGAATATTACATTTCTGAATACTGTATTTCTGCTTGCATGAAGGCAAATTTGATTGTATTTTTAAAAAACATTAGAATAGATTAAGGGAGAAAAAACTGAGACAACAGCTAGAAGTGAATTTATATGTCAGAATAAATTATAAACTTGATAATGAATTACATGAATCCATTTCTATAATAATTCAAACAAGGATGAAAATCAGAAAGTGGGCAATGATTTCTTTCAATTTAGAATGTCTAAATTGCAGATACGGTCTTGTTCTGGATAATAAACCAAGAGTAAAGAAGTAAAATTACTATGAAATGTGCATGCCAAGTCATACAGCTTTTTATGACAACTTATTCCTTTGGAATTGCAGTGCTTTTTGACTAGACTCTAAGTTTCATAACTGAGTAATTAATTACATATGGTCTTTATTTAATTAATATTTGAGGGATTCCACTCTAAATTTAATGCAAGTAATCTTGATTGTCCAAGGTATTCATTGTAATCTTCTTGCCATTTTGAGTATTATTTATGCTTCAAGCATTTTCTCTTCATTATGGTACATGTTCACTCAACAGCAAACTAACAAGCACTTCTGATGTTCAGAGCAGAAAAGATTGAACATAATGAATTAGACAGCAGCGGTTCCCATCCTACATTTATGTTATATTTCTTTTAAAATTTGGCATATGTTTTGGCATTGTTTTTCAATCTCTCTTTTCAAACTGTTTATGAATAATTCTTTAATCTGTAATTAATGAGCATCAAAAAGTTTATTTAATAAGAAATTAATTCTCTGAGATCAAAGGGTAGATGTAATTTGGAAAGAGATACATCTATTCCATCAAAGGCAAATATAAAATGCAAAAACCAAAACATTTATTCAGCAAGACATTTATGTTGATCTGCAAACACTCAAACATTTAAACAGAGTCAGCAGTGCTGCTGCCTGCTCTTACCTTTGATGGACTGCGGATGATATGTTCAGGAGGCCTTTGGTCTGCTTTTCTTTCAATGCCAGTTCATTTTCTTGTTTCTTTCTAAGTCTGTTCCTTTCACCTCTTTCTGCTGAAATAATGTTTTTGTAAAATCTTCTGCCCAAAATTACAAACTCTGAGTTGTGGCAACTTTACAATTTATGTTTTGCATCAGCACAAATTAATCCTTGTTCTAGGTAGTCTCTCCAACGTTACTGCTCCTTAGGGATATCAAGCACTTCTTACACGCTCTTGCTCTGCCACTGTGATGCACTGCACAGACAATAGTTTGTGCATGGTTTAGCTGAGATGGTAGTGTCACTGAATTCCTATTCTTATCTGCTTCTCCCACTAGGCTGATTAACATGGAATTCAAAGTACAGAATTTATTAAAAGACCTTGATGCCTTAAGTAAGAACTGTAATACCTAAACTAAAAATGCAATATAAAGAAAACCTCTGCTCGGAGACCACTTAGTCCTGGGAGTGCCTAACTTCACAAGACATGTTCTCACTTGATGGCAAAATATTTTGGGTACTTTTGCACATGTTCACACTCCACAAGTAACTTGGCGTTTATCTGCTGACCAGGCTCCTGACTCTTGCCCCTGAAGTCCTGCCTGGCAGCAAAGCTTGGGGCACGTCTGACAAACAGGACCGGTTTCCTTGCATCACTGCTTTTAAATAAAGCACAGATGGAGGGAGATGGATGGGTATGTAACAGATCAGGCTATGTAACAATCATCTGGGGAGCATTTGACCTTTTCTGAACACTCGGAGAGGCTGTCAGGCACCTCTTCTACCAACAGCACCATCGAGGAGCAGTTACTTGCTGCACTCTAGGCTGGGCTGGGCTGGCTGGGAGAGGGGAGGTGCTCTCCACCTTTTTTCTTGTGGCTGTGCCAGACAGTCTGTAAATTCAGATTTACTAGGCCAAGGGATACCCAAAAAAGTAAAATCCTATAGCCTGACACTAAGCCCAGTCACTGGAAGAGAGAAGCCCAGCATTATTCTCCTGACTCCAATTTAGCTATCACTGAATGACGTACATAAGAAATTTCCTATGTGGACATTCTAACCCCAGGGCTATCACATAGTAGGTGGCTCTACTGCCAACACTATTTTTTCCAACATGTGTTTTACAGAGAGAAGTTATGAGAGTATTTGGTCAGAAGGATCACACTCTCAGTGTGGTAATCATGCTTGGAGATCACCTAACATATCAGCCCCTTCTGAAAAAGAAGAAACATGGATGCTCTGCCTTCTGGCTGAGCCTGGATGGAAAGCAGTTGGCTAGCTAGCCGGGCTTAGGGTGTCCTGGCAGCGCCATGGAGCAGAGCTTTGGGCTGTTAAGAATCACAGACAGAAATTTAAGTGCATAAAGCAGCTGAACTGAGAAAAGAGTGGGGTTCTGCATCACAAATGTGGACTTAGGTTAAAGAAAGACTTACATGTACTAAAGCACTGAAGTCCCTTATTAGATGGTAATGCTCACTCCTAATGTAAAAAACACCAACAAAGCTGAAGTACTTATCTGTTGATACTGAAAATCTCATCTGGCTGCAGCATGCACATGTAGGTTTGCAATATTTTTTCACTGTACCAATTAATTTGATCTGTGAATTTCAGTTGGGTTTCTCTCTAGCCACCTAAATCTAAAACACTTCTGCTTTTATTACACTCATCCTCCCTCATGCCTGTAGGCTTACACTGCAGCAGAAGGATTTTCTTTTTCTTCAGCTGAAAAGAAAATATACTCTGCTTACACATGTAATTTCCTTCCTTGAAGTTCATGGAACACCAATACACTGAAACAATAATATATCCACACAAACTCTAGGAGAAAAAATAATCTAAATGAGCAATTACCAGAAGGTTGCCTGTGGTTCTAGGGACTGGTATTCTAGGTCTCACAACTTAACTGGGAGACCAGTTGAGAACAATATCAAAACACTGATGAAACAGGACATTCAAGTGTGTAATGACATCCATCTCAGCTCAGATCAGAGGAGCATTCTGGAACAGGCTTCAATTTAAATTCCTGTTTAAAGGAACTAAAATCAAAGCAATTTTACACTCTGTAGCTGGCTCAATCACAGCTAATAGAAGACTTTAGAGGGGCTTTGTGAGAATTTAAGTAACTGGCTGCCTTGCCACCTGACGATGTCTAAAATACAGATTGTCAAAAATCCCCGCATAGATTTTGCCTAACCCTAGCACTTCAGCTTCCAATATTAAAGTCTTCATGGTTCACAACAGGGCAGTGCAGAACAGATTGTTTCTGTCCTATAACCAGTGAGCATATCTAGCTCCTACTAGGGCTCACAAATCCTTCCTACCAACTCATCTCTGTATCTCAGCCTTGAGTGGATATGCCTGTTCCTCTTCAAAAACTCTCTTCTGTGAATAAAGAATAATTTCTATTTAAAATTGCTAAGTCTATTTTTAGGAAAAAAATCTATTCCATGTCTCTCAAATACTTAGTCCCTGATGATACTGCCATTTCGCTAACTTGCTAACTTCATTTAATGCCAACAGCGTCCCCTAGAAATATTTGATTCATTGATTCATTCCGTGGCTGGACTCAATGATCTTAAAGGTCTTTTCCAACCAAAACAATTCTATGATTCTATTCTATGATTTTATTTGCATATATTAATGTGCAAAATTGAACAGTGTTTATGGGAGATATTGGCTATACAACCTAATACTTGTAGAACTCTTTCCTTTCTAAATTCTTCTGCCTTGTGTTGAGGTTTAGAGCACCAGCAAATCAACTGCCGGTGGTTGTGACTATGGTAGTATCTCTGATCTTAGCTTGGTGAATCAGCCTGTGGTTAAACTACAATCTCCAACACTAACTAATTTTTCTGTGTGTATCTGTATCAAACTTCATGTAACATCTGCATCTACGACTGTAATTCAAGTAATTATTAATAATTACAGTTCTGCCACTTCTCCTTCAAAGATGGAAATGAACTTACACATTCACTTTGCTTTGTTGCAAATTTCTGTTATATTTAAAAGCAATCATTCCAGTGACAAGAAAATTAATTTATCTGTTAAAAAAACAGAATTATGTTACAGTTGTCAATATCATACATACCTTGTAAGGATTTCAATTGTTGAAGCTTTTTCCCTTCATAGCTTTCCGTGATTTTTCCTAATTGCTGGTAGTAGTTTTGCACCAGTCTGTTGATATTATTGCTGGTCCCATACACACTTTCTACAGCAGCTTCCACCAGTTTCTCCTGCATTACACAGTACCAGTCACAACTCATTTTCTAAGTCAAAAAGTGAAGTGTTTTGATCTGTCTAAAACTGAAGACCCAACCTAATTTTGTATGTGAACACAGAATTGTGAATTTCTTGCTTTAAAAACATGGCAAATTGAGACACTAGAAAACAGGTACCTATTTCTATTCATCCATGGAATATTTTAACATAAAAAAAAAAAAAATACAGTAAAATCTTTCTAATGTGCCTCATCTCCATCTGGGAAGGGGCCATAACCCTATCTGTTCAATCTTCATAGCCCATTTTACCTGTCAACCTGACATACAACATATGTGTAGCTACAATATATGTGTAGTTCTACTACCGCTTTCCATTATACAGAAAATCCAAATATTACTTTGGAATGATTTTATTAACCTATGAAGCAAGTTTTGTTTTTATTTAATTATTTATCTACGAATTAATATTCAGCTGTTAATATACAAATACTATTAATTAACCATAAAATCTTCAACAATAGATAACCATCTCCATTTCTTACTAATTTTTGTTATTCTCTGTCATCAAGAACTCTCTCAATTTTTTTATGTTCCAAGGTTTGGCATAATAAAACCTGTTTTGGCTGCTATAACAAGTCACTAGAAAACACTTTACTTCTCCGTGTTAGTTTGCAAATACTATGCAAGGTATCTTCAGTTTTACCACATGTTGTAATGGTCTCCTGTAGGCACAGGGTAATGCATAAACGAAACTGTCTTCCATTTTAGCAAGGTAGCACTCATATTGTTTGGAAAACTGCTGTTGAACATTTGTGTACCTTGAAGTCCTGTCCATCATCGGAACTCTTTTTTCCAGCTTCCTGTCGAGCATGCTGCAGCAGTGTCCGTCCAATCACCTGCTCCATGTGCTGCTGAAGAAACTGAAGAGCTTCTTGAATTTCTGTGACTAGCTGCTGGTGAAATTCTAACTGGGTTTGCTGCATTTCTTCCTCAAGCTTCTCCTCTTCTTCTAGAATGTGGGACTCCTGGTAATCAGACAAAAAGATAGCACTGCCATTTAAACATGCTGACAAACTCAGTCAGTTTCACTTTAAAAGATAGTCCTACACCCATTCAGAATGTTATTGTTTTAATACTTAGAATAATATAATTTCCAGCGGAAAGTTTATGTACAGTTATTTAACACATTTGTCTTTGCAACAAAACTATTGCCTCTGTCCTTACAGGGGCAATAACAGCTGCATCCTATCCCATTAGTCATTTCCAAATTATGTATTCCCATCTTTGCATTCTGTACTGTTGAATTTGGCCTTATTTCTATTAAAAATATGAACAATCTAGGTCAAATATCCTGAGTCCTGTAAGGGATAATTGTACATACCTCGATAAAGTGCACAGGAACAAGGCAAGTATATAGTTATGCACCTGGAATACTCATACAGTTTGTGGGGGTCTACCTGAGAAAGAGTTGGTATATTGGTACTTATGGCCCTTTGGAGAGGTCACAAACGTGTTTAATAGCACTCGGAAACCATTGGCACTCTTGGCATCTACAGCATCCTGAGGTGGTGAGTTCTACAGCTTATCCATACAGAATTTTGAACCTGCTATCTAATAGCTTTGCTCGGTGTTCTCTTCTTTTATGAGAAACAAGAAATTAGAAACAAGTGAAAACATGTCCCCTATTCACATCTTTTATGCCAGTTTTAAAGTTATGATGTTCCAGAAGATACCTCTTTCTTAGGCTAGAAGAGTTCTAGTCTCCTGATGTCTTTGGACTTTCCTTGCCACCACTTTCTGTGCTTCTTTTGAAATTCACTTTCCCTCTAAACTTTCTTTAGCACACAATAGTACATGCTCATCAGTACAACCTGTTCTCTTTTCCTTACATGTATTAGTTTTCCATAGATTGCTTTCTATTGAGTTGCTCATATCCCTCATATATTAATATTCTCATTTAATACTAAATAACATTAAATTATTCTGAGGGATTTGACAGTAGCTATTTGATTCCCTCTTGGAAATAAGAAATGCAAGCAGGAAAAGAACCTGCTCTGTCCACATTCATCTGTGAAAAATAATGATGTCCCTATTAAAGCTGGGTTATTCTGACACGTCTTTATTTATGTCATGTTAACATGTCCAGGCTAGGATTCTTTAGTGTTGTTTAACATTTTATATGAAACCAACAGATAGACATGACAATGTCTGTGTATTTGTGTTTTATTATTTAATATTTTTTTTCTTCTGAAGGTTAATGAGATTTTGAGATTTTCACACTTAATAGAAACTACTTCAACAGAAGTATCAATTATGAAAATGGCAGCAGACAGGATTTCCTTATTCATCTTCTAAGTGGAGAATTAGGGTTTGTATTATACAAACCAGAATTAGAGGAAAGCACAATGTTATCTCTCAGCTAATTAAACAGTGACAGCATTGAGCACAGAGCTGCAAAGTATTGGATGGGTTCAATCTAGATGTGAAGCAGCAGTGGGTTGGGCAGGGACTATCACTGACACTCCCTGGGAGGGTCCTCTGAGGTTAAAATCTGAAATTCAGTGTTGTTCTAGGTAAATATCCAATTCAGATAAGTAAATAGTGAACAATGCTTAATTAACCCTAAAAAACACAGTCATAAACAGATTTGAAAAGATTCCCAGCCTGTGGGAATATCAAGTCTAACAATCCCTTAAACTTTCTCCCATCTCCTTGACCTTCAGGAGCCAGATTATTTGAAAGGATGGCAGGGGAATGGATGCTGAGCATCTCATGGATGGAAGAGAAAGAAAAAAGAATGAAAATGATGACAGTATAGAAGAACTTACTAAATCTGGCCGAGGGATTTCTTCTGATGCCCAAGTAAGAAATTTTCAAGTGCATATTATGATCCCTAGCAGAATTAGTAGGAATTTATCTTACCCTGAAGCAGTAACTTGTGTAGAACTCCTTTATATATGTTGCCATGCCTTCCCTAATTAGTATTTTCATATAAAATAAATAGCTAAATAAGCCTGCTATGATAACGCATATCACAGATAGCTAGCCAATGGATTGGAATTATGGGTATGGAATTTTAAATGTCTGCCAAACTAAAACAGGCACACTCGGGGACCTCCTATGCCAGCAGTGAGTGCATTTTTGACGGAGAATATTTTCCTTTCTATTTGGAACTTCAACATTTTTATTTTCTGAGATCTTCTACAGCTACTTCTAATGCCAGACATCATAACATATGAGACCTCTGGAGAAAAACCCGGACACTGTACCTACCACTGCCTTCTGTAACTGCCACTGGTCCTCATCTTGGCAGGGGAAGGATCCCTTCTGCAGGGTATGTTGCTCTCTCAGTTCCTGAAGCAAGCTCTTCTTTCTGGACAGTCTCATGCGGGCCAGGGCTGCCATTCCAAGTCTTCGAAGGCTTAACCTTGCGAGTACTGAACACAGCAGAAGTCGGTGTTTTTGCAATATATAGTTAACAGACCTGTAAAAAGGACCATTAAAAATCAATCAGCTAAGCTGCTGGCACAACTGTGTTCAACAAAATCATTGCTCAAAGATGACAAGAGTTACTATTCACTCTGTGTAATGTCTTCTTGTACAAAGCATGCTTAGGTGTAAAGAATGGTATTGGTGTAATAGACTTCTAGTTTTGTCACACTGAAGTTAAATTAAAATAAAAATAGGAAGAAAAGAGATAAATAATCATCTATAATTATATAATAAATTTTTTAATAGGAGATTTGAAATAAGACAAAAAGAGAACGTAATCAGAACTACAGAAAAGTTATTTCAAGAAAATTCGGGAGAACATATCTTGGATTAACAAGGAGGAACACTCTAAAGAGACACTGAAGAGGCCAGTGTTAGCTGGCAGGGCAGACATGGCTGAAGCAAGTTTGAGGTGAATTTTAAACAGGAGAGCAAATGTTGAAGTTTATTCTGGACCAGGTGAGTGAAATCTGTGTGTACATTTGGGATGACATTGTTTGTGCCTGTATCTAACTTGTGTGTATAGGCAAGGCACCATGAGCTCTCTACATACTGAATCTTGGGAAACCTTGAAATCGGAGAATGTGAAAATATAAGGTTGAACAGAAAAGCAGAGACAAAATAAAGGAGTGCAATGGCAATAATACCAATATTCCAAATAGACAAGTCTTCAAATGCTTTGATCACTGGTAATGTGAAGACCACAGCGAATTAAGTCATTTGATATCTTAATCAAAACAAGGCAGATAAAGGAGGACTCTGTTTTTTTTAAGAAGTATTTCTATCAAAGAGATGTTTAGCTGTACAAAGATCAGATAAAACTAAAAGTTTCCTTGGTGAATACAGAGAAAGAATGCAAGAGAAGAGTCATTATCCTGCAAAGCAATGGTCAGTGGTATTTTAATAGCAGAAAAGAAAGGTAGAGCTGAATGGTGCTGGACAGAACATTTTACCTTGAAGAAATCCAACTCCAATACAGAGTGCAGAGATGCTGGTTTAAGATTAGAAATCACTCACAAACACAGGAATAAATACACAGAAAGCACAACACTTGACAAATCACAGAAGACTATTTTTTCTACTTACTGGGAGTCATGGTATGTCTGTTTTTTAAAATTTGGTTTTGATACTTAGACAAAAAGCTAGAGTAACTGCCTCTCTGTCTGAAAAAGTTCATAGTCTCTCAACATTGCTTTCTACAATGTAACGTACACAAGTTTTTATCTGTGCATGCAGCAGTGCAGTTTTACCCAACTGCTTACTCATAAAACCAAACTTACTCATCACTGAGGCATCCTAGTCTGCTTACAACACCTTGAATTATCTTCTCTTGTTTCTCAGACAGGTGCTTTTGCATCACAGCAGACAGAGCATATTCCTTTATCCACAGCTAAAAACAGGGGGAAAACATTACAACAGTAAGATACTCTGATTTCAGTCATTTGAGTCACCACGTTATAGAACAGAGGTTTATTTGATGTTATTTTACTGAAAACAATCATCCCCCTCTTTCAAGAAACAAACTCATGCTGAATTAAAAATATTCTACCTAGGAATATTTTTTTTCCTCAATGATCAAAGTCTTAAACAAAGCTCACTGGCAAAAAAAGAGAGGCTTTGCACTGTTTTGGATCAGTCCTCAGCTATGTCTCCTACAGTTTTTCTTGTTTCAGCAACAGAGGAACGAGAAAAAGAACAATACGGCACAAAATATTGCATTGACTCTATCAGCAAGATGCAACAGGCTTTTTGTTTGGGTTTTCTTCACCAGTAGAGAATGTAGTTTTTATTTTCACTGACAAAATAAAGATATGATCTTACATCACACTTTTCTGTATAGTACACAGTGCTAATAGTTGGAAATGAAGATTGTGTCATTAGGTTTATGGGCTGCAAGTTTAAAACTCCTTCAGGGCGACATTTAGATCAAAGATGAGGCTTTCAGCAACCTGCTCTAGTGGAAGGTGCCCCTGCTCATGGCAGGGGGGTTGGAACTAGATGATCTTTAAGGTCCCTTCCAACCCAAACCATTCTATGATTCTATGAATTTAATCTTTAAATGTTTTGATGGATTTGCCATTAGACTGTAAACTTGTAGGGATATGGACTTAACATTTTCTTCAGCGTATGGCCAGAATTTAATTAATAATAAGCCATACAATGAAATGGTTGTAAGGCACAAACTCTGTTACTGTGAGATGAAGAGTATATTTTAGGCTACACTGGCAGCAGGTTGCCCGTGGACGTATGCAGAGCCCTAAATTAAATACAATACTCAGGCTCTCTGACAGCTTTACTTCATGCTCTAGCCTCATCCAGAACATGAGGGACTTAATTTTCTATTATTGCAGACAGCAAGGTTTCACTAGATCAATGTCTAGCAAAGAATTAGATGTGCAATTGCACAATTGTTAGTGTTAGGAACTAGGAGTGATAGTGAGCCTTCCTACTGAATTTGACAGTCTTTTTCTTGGGAAGCAGTCATCTGTGCAGGAGAAAGACTTTATCTGTGAGCACAGAATGAACTCCCCTGGGAATGCAGAACATCAGAAACCACATCATCTTTGGCTTTAAAATAAAAATGTACTTCTTTCTTGGATAACACCTTCTCTGTAACACAGCAACACATATAACTGACTCCTCTCCATGAAGAAAACCTTACCAAAACACATACTCCTGAGCAGCATGCCTGGGAAGGATGGGCAGGCAGTCAACAACAGGTGACAGATGGAAAGAGTTCAGCTGAGCATGAGAAGCATAGCCTGAAGGTCTGTATGGCACTGGGAAGCCCACCAGGCTGCTCTCAGAAAGAGCCAGAAAACATACCTGTGTAGCCAGACCTCAACTGATTTGAGTCTAGGCGATTCTTAAAATCACAGAGCACAGCCAAGCACAGTGCCTTCTCTGACTGCATGCTGCCAGTGTCAAATTAAGGTCCATCAGGTCTCCAGGTATCACCATGACAGATGGGAAATACTTGCTTGAAGTAATAACTATATCAGTACTTCCCTTCAGCACCTCTGTGGATATGGTTTCCTAATGTCTCACACCTTTTTGCATATGCTTAGTAAACCTATCACATTGTGTACTTTGATGTCTCTTTCAGCAGTTAAAAGAAAGGTTGAAAATGACCTTTTACTTTCTAGAAGTATTTTCATTTTCAGTGAGAGACTGGCTGTTGCTCAGACAGTGGCTTCCCAACATTTTTGGAGACCTAGTTAGTGAAGTTGCTCCTGAAGGGCCTGTCTGCACACTTACTCTTGAACAGCTTGTAGCTTAAATCTGATGTTGATCACCAAGACACAGAAGACAGGAGACATTTTCTGAATTACAGCTGGAATGATAAATGACACAATATTGCAGCCAAGAAACTAAAACTTAACACCTCTGTTGCTATCACTATATCCTATTCAAAAAGACACTCAGAATCGTAACGCCAGGGACTGGAGTTGTTGTTTTCTTCTGTTTATGCAGAAATAGCCTAGTTCTGCAAAGGTGAACACAGACTTACTTTTAAAGGGGAAGAATGAGTCACCTTTTCCATTGCAAGTGCATTTAAGGTTAGCTGTATGCAGAATCTAAAAAAGGTCTCTTCTCCGCCCTGAGACCAATGGAAAGCTGAGAATACAGCAAAAAATACACCTGCACACAGTTATTAAACTGAACAGCAGAAGTACATCAGCCATATAAGCAGTAAGAGAACAAAGAGGAAAGGAGGGGGACTATTACGCGTTTAAGATGGGATGAAAAATAAGGAAGATTGAGATTCGGACCAAATACTAAACCAGTGTTTTGTCTCAAAAAGGCTATTAGGAAGACAATCAAGAGGGCAAGGATCAGCTGGGAACAAGAACAGACTATTGTATGTTTCATTGGAAGCACTACTTCAACAGCTCACTCAGATGAGCTGGGAGGGCTACGTATTTTCCACCACCAAAATACTATAAGAACTCACACACACAGGCACAGATGCAACAGCAAAGATCCTCTCTGAATCTTAATATTGCTGAAAAATAGAAAAACAAACAACTATTTACTCAAGCCAGGTGGAATGGTCAGGTGTTGTGCTGCACTGGCACCTCTCAAAGTTCTCCTGTTCTTGGGAATGGCCTTACTTTGCTCAGAGACAGGCCAGTACAGAGCAGAGACAATGACGCTGCTGTGCAGACTCAGCAGCTGGAAGAGAGCTTGGGCTCTCTGATTCCTGCATTTAACCAGTAAAATCAGTGACAAAAGCATCATAAATGGAGTAAAGCTCAGAGAAATACCTGGCTCCTTGAAAAGAAGAGTCATTCCAATCACTATGAAAAAATGCATAGAAAATTAAGAGAAAGTGATAAAATGGACACCATGTCAAAACTGGCAAGCAGGTGCTGGTTCAGCTTTCTGGGTGTCAGGCAACGATGTGGGAATGGACAGACAACTCCTCAGCCCATTTTTTTCTCTGTAAGTTTCTCGCTGTTTTGCTACCTGGCAACAAGTCCATTACAAGACTTTCTGGAGCACTGCTAACCTTAAGTATTACTCTCTGGCAATAAAGTTGAGGAATATGCCCTTGGTAGGTAATGAAATCCATAAAATATTTTGATTAGATCTCAGATACAACAGTAAATTAGACCTGAGCAAGCTCACTCTTTTTTCTGCAGCTCTCAGTCTGACATTTTTAGCACAGATTCTCAGGAAATCGAAGTAAAGCAATTTCTCCCTAACAGCCTGTAGATGGAGTGTGATGCACACTGAATGCCAAGCAAGTACCTCAGCCTGGTGCAGCAGTCTGCTCCCCATAACCACTGCCCAGGCAGGAGAGCTCATCTACAGAAATCATGAGGTAGGGGCTACGTGGGAAAATGCTCAAAATTTATTTTCATTGGTCATTTATTCTCATTTGCCTCACTCACATCCTCAAGCATACAAGGCAAAAGTTAAATATGAAACTGATTTTTTTCCTTTCAATTGTAAAAGAGATTCTGTTCCCCCACATTACATAATATTCCAGACAGGTATACAATGTATACATGTCAGGAAAGATAATCTAAAAAAAAAAAAAAAAGCAGTTCAAGTAAATGGGAAAAATTACTTTTTGAGCCACCTTAAAAAGCACACTGGTGAAATAAATACCCTGGTGAAAAGCCTTCTGGTGTTAAGACTTCCCAAGTCTGTAAAGCAGGTGACTATGTAACTCTTAGTATAGTACATTTATCAAGAGGCAAATGAAATACATATGTCCTGCTGGAAAATGCCTGATAAATTAAAAGGCCTGTCAATATGGATGTTGATTTATGGACCTTCTGACACATTCAGCACTGTAACATCTATGGGATTTCCTAAATGACATGATCACCTGTCACAAGTGTCTGATCTCTCTTCTTCTTTTCTTAAGGAGGAAACTAAGTGCTCCTTTTTGTAGGAAACAAGTGTCAGCTTATTGCATAAATGTGCATACTGCTGCATTTATAACAGGAAAGGGCCAAGAAATGCACTTTGCATTTGAATGTAAAACAATGAGTTGTGTGATGTTTTTCAAATTTGTTGATCCAGGAAATTTTGACAGCCTAGCTTTGGTGGAATAGCTATCTCCTTGCATTCTCTCTTTGAAGGTATAGCAGACTCTTTTCCAGTTTAGTTCATCCACTTCCAAAAAGCCACAAGCATTAAGTTAAAAAAGCTACTTAAGCTCCTTCGAAGAATACAGTCTTAAGGAATCACAGATTTTCCCACTAGGGGAAACCCTTGTCTCTTCTAGGGATTTATCCCACAGAATCACTCATCCTTAGGACAGCTCTGTCTGTCACTCAGGAAATTTTTATATTGAGTGAGGCCCAACTGCAGTGCTGGTGACCCAGAGACCAATATGGGAGCTCTGTCATTGCTAAATGAATTCCTCTATAGCTCAGTAATTACTGTTAATTATGCCAGCAAACCCTTTTTTTTTTTCCCTCCCCAGCTAGGAAGCCATCTGCTTTATATTATTAATACTACAATACACTGAAAGTGATGGAAAGTCAACTTTCTATATTGTGCCAAATGATAGTAACAGAGGAAAGCATAAACAGTGTTTTTGGAACAAAACTTCAGACTCAAGATCTCCCTCTCTGTGGAGAGTCTCCTAGCTGTTAAACAACATCCTCTCTGGCCCTGAGCAATGGCTGAGGTTCCATGGGATAGGGGAGGGACCAGAGCAGAGGTGTCCTAATATGCACTCTGACTCCTGAGACTAATCATAAATTGCACACCAGATCCTCCTCCTTCTCTGACTGTGGTCTTTAATGACAGCAGATACCACCATAATGCTTTGGGCTCCATGCACTAGGAGACATCCTTGTAGTGCACCTACTAGACCAAGCTGCTCAGGTCATTCATGTAAATAGACAGGCAATTTGTGAACCCTTGGTGAATGTGAAATGAACAGCAATCTACAGGTTTAAGGTTGCCAAATCAGGTATTGAATCTAATCCTTGATAAAACAGGGCAATGTTAAAAAAAGCTGAGTTTAGACATTATTTCAATAATCACTGCAGCTACAGGTATGCCAAATTCAAACACTAAATGTCAGCCAGCAGTCCTAGAAAGCACAAATGCCTGCCCTTAACTTAAAGCATGTGAGCAGACTCATTGGCATCAGTGGTCAGTTCTAAGTATCTTTTAGCTTAGGTTGCTAGATATCCTTGTGACACAGAAACAGAAGAGGTAAGCAGAATTGTTTTTCGAAACAGTTGAGATAACAGGTGAGTTACAAAATACAAAATGATCAGTAAATATAAAATGATATATGTTGTATAAGATTAAGGAAAATAGAGAAAAAAAAAAAAAAAGGAAATGGCTGAGAATCCAATGAATAATTTGACTCTTGTATTCCCAAGGGTGTGCTAAAACCACTGGTCAGCAAACCACTCTACCAGATTTAGTAGGAAGCCCAAAGTTTTCTGAATCACAGAGGTTTTACGGAAGAACCGTAAATATGAGTGGATGGAAAAGTTAAAACACCTTGTAGAAATCTGTAATAATGAGGGACTCAATAAGTACCTTATTAACCACGTACTGGATTGTCCAGGCACTTTGGAGCATGAGGCTAGGGAAAAGTATGATTTTGTCTGTGTTAATTAACTCTGCCAAGTTTTTATTTAAGAAGCTCCAATTATTCCATACGTTGCAGCACACACTTGATATTTGGGAAGGGGCACACCTTTGTATAGAGAAGGTCATTCTTTGACTAAGCTGTGTTAGTCTTCAAAACAGTGTTAACTGAGACATAGCATTGCATGAATAAATTGAAGGTACATCTGAGTTCCACCTTAATGCTGAAGATACCTGCCTCTGCATTTACTGTTGTTGCTTTTCTCCTCTGGTGTCAATGCCCTCTATGCTGGGCACAAATAGAGCACGAAAGCTGGATGTGTATTTCTTCACCTTCTCAGGGTAAAGAATAAGTTTTATATAAAGTGTGTACCATATGTTTCCAATTATTATAGTATTAACACATAAAAATGATTAAGAAATATTTATTGTTGTAAAGTCTCCTTTCCCATAAACTGTATTCATATGTACACTCGCCAAACAGAACAGATTAAGGTTTTTTTAAACTGTTTCTGTAGATGTTCAAGAGTTGAGGACATCAGACAGCAGCCTTGCAAAAAATGTTTATGTGCTGACAAAGCCATCAAACACTCTGGACAGATGTTCAGTAATTACTCTCCAACTCCTCTAAGTCTACACACACAGCATACATATTCACTCCATACTGCAGGTCAAACTGTCTATCCTGAGTCTGGATCTGTGTCTGGACCCAGGCTGTATATTTACCCACAAAATACTCCCCACAGATAAATACCTTGATAATTTTTTTTCTATATCCCTGTTTTTAGACCCTGGAATCCCAGAATGTAATAGGGGTCTTACTTTTTTTTCTTGCAATAGCTGTTCCTGGAAAAGTTTCCAGTGTCTCTGGCGGTGGGTCTCCCATTTCTCCAGCTGAGGGACCAAATTCTCCTGCCATTCCTCTTTCAGAAGCTCACATTCTCTTACAGAGAGGCCGGTCACAACAGGCAGGTTCTGAAGAAAGAGCTTAGTCACCAACTCTGCTAAAGCATGGGAAGCTTTAGAGTGCAGCTCCTAACAGAGGGACAAAAAAGAGACAAACACAGGTGAGAAAGTGGACCCTCTGGCCCTCTGGAGCTGTTTCACTGCATGTCTCCATGATGCCAGTGAGGGAACTATGTCACAGTGAAGACACTGGGCCAGTGACTGACCTCTAGAACTAAAATCCAATGCCACTAATGACTGAGTTAAAAAGGTTGTAGATAGAATAACTTAAATGTTTTAGTTCAAGACACTCAAGGACACTGAAAATGCAATAGTGGCATGAGCACAGAAGACCTTGAATCCTAACTGTTGCCCACATACAACCGCAGTACAAAGAATACCTTGTTTTACTGGCTATGGTGATGTGTTATAAAAACATTTATTTTGAAAGTTACTGTGGAAACAATCCAGTGTATAACAACACCTCAAAGATTCTTTTTCAAACATGCTGATATGAAATGAATGAAGGCAAGAAAGAAGGAAGAGGTAAAAGGGATAGTACAGCTTTTAGTTAGGCAGAATTGACATTAGTCATGTTAATAGTTGGTGCTCCAAAATATGACACACTTCTATGCCTGAAGGACAGAATTATTAGGATTCTTTCTGATACAGAACTGGTTCAGGCCTAGGAAAACAAACACCTTCTGGTGGTTTTATTAAAACTAGTCCCATATGAGCGGTTTTCAATTGCTGATGCTGTTTCACTTGCAAGAAGAGTTTGGGTGATTTAGTCAAATGATATCCAACCTAAAAAGTCTGTTACACATAATTTTACTGTCAAATACACAGTGATGATGCAAGCTGTGTTTGCAAACTTGCTACAATTTGAGATAATCCCTGAGGAGAAGGAGTGAGGGCAGGTAGCTTTCCCCGGCAGAAGAGACAAAACAAAGACACATTGGAAAAGTCACATGGACACTGCAGTACTCCAGCTGTATGAAGAGCTATTTTTGTGTGAGTTCCACATGATCCTACCAGTCCAAAAAGCTTTATTGCCTACTTGGTTTTGCTTTCATTGTAAATCACTGTTAGCCCTCTTGAAGACACTTAGATTTCTTTCTTTTCCTTAAAATATAGCTAATATTTTAAAAACTCTTTTCAGCATTTCTGTTGCAAAAACAAGTCAAGTCTTCTAGCTGTTGCCTTCTTTTAAATACAGGTTTAATTTCAATCACTTAAGTGATCAAAATCTAGGAACTCTCAATAGAAACACAGACATATTTATCAAAATGTCATAAACATTAGTCTGCAGCACATAGACATGAAAAGTTCTAGTGGAATTGTCTTTCTCTGGGAGATGCACAGGTATCACGTACTATTGTGTAAGAAACAATTCCAACTGCTAGATGTGGTATCATAAAAATAAAATAAGACCAAAAAAAACCAAAAAAACAAAAGAGGATGTTAAGTTGCCAAGTCAAGAACTCAGAAATAAAGAATGACAAGAAATTAGGTTGCATGTGAAATCTAGTTCTGTGCCCCCATAACGATAAATTTGGGGTTCACACACTGTTTCTGCAGGGCCTTTCTCTCTTCTGTATTAAGGTTTATCAATACCCATTGAATGGACAGATTTGAAAAAAAAATCTTTATTTTGTATTTCTCATTTATTGTAAAATATCGAAACCATGCACTGAACACTTAATTATTATTTTCCTCCTGGGATCCCTCTAGGATGCTAATCACCATATTAATGAGCTGCTTCACGAACAATAAAGAGCTTATCTTAAGAGCTCCCCACTGTAACCTCTTCTTATGGATAAAAGTGAGGTACAACACTATCAAAAGTGTTCACTACATCTTCAAGATGAGCTGTCTTGACATCTTCCACTCTTAGCTGTTTAAAGTATGCAGCATTTTCAGAATCTGGCCCCCACTGGCTTTGTTTAATCTCAAAGTACTATGTATGAATTCTTCTAAACTGGGCTACAGGTTTCTGAAACTGGGTACTGGGCATAAGTATCAGAACTGGTAGTCAGAGATACAACAACCAGATACCTATTTCTGGTAACATTCTCCCATTTCTATCTATTGCTCACAGTCTGAACATGACAGTGCCATTAGGGTAACACTTGCTACACAGGTGCATCCTCTGCAGAAGGATGGATCTCCCCTACTCCTTAATTACTAAAGTTACCAGCTCCTGTTATAACAAAAGGCAGGATTTAGACGATCTTAATAATCTGTGTAGTTGTAGGCCTGGCTTAGCTTGCCAATGCTAATGCAAAAAGGTTTGTTTTAATTATCTCTTTTCTGCTACTTATATTAAAATTCAAGTTTCCAAATTCTGGGATTTAACATAAACTCAAAGATCCTGTGTTTCTAATCTCTGTATCCCATGCAACATTTAAAGAACAATCACTCTATCTCTGTAAAACATCTCTGAGCTTTACTAGCCTTTCAGGACAAGTTAATTCTCCTGCCTTCACTGGGTGTTCAGGGATATAAGAATTTCTCTTGGGTCTGAAATAGTTCAGAAGCAGTCTAGGAGTCTGTGGCATTTTTACTGCAATCTCAAAAGATGTCAGGCAGAGTGTTAGGGAATTCTGTTCTTAAACAGAGTTCCACCTGTGGCTGCTAAATCACTTTGCAACACATTTTGCTTCAGAACTGATAGCATTTCCCCAGCATGCTGACAGCTCTGTATTATTATTTACTAGGAAATCTTTTGCACAGAACATAAAGAAGGTATTTTGTTACCTGCCTTCATGCCATTCTGTTTAAAGACCAAGTGAATAGAGCTCTGCTTGCACTCCCTGCAGCTTCAAATTATACTGTATACTTACCTTTGGCACTACCAGAGTGGGTACATAGTTACCCACAAAAAATATGACTAGGTCCTGTTCCCACTAAATTGCTTACCTATATCACCTCATTAGTGTGATGGGCCAAATTACCTTTAGATCAAAGGTGCTTAACTATTGGTTTGCAAAATATTCATGGCCCTCTGCTAAAACTGGTGCATGAAAGGACAAGAAAGTGGGATTAGAATTCCAGGAGCAGTTTTTCATACTAGTAGTCCCTTTAAAATGGAAAATGCTGGGTGAAGGAGGGGAAGCAGGACTAAGCAGTGTGTTCTTTACATCTCACATATATTGCAAACTGGCACACAAAGCAACAGGAAGCCTGGTCAGGTACTGTAAATTCCCGGAACGGTGATTTTTAACTTTCCCTTTAAGTTGTGTTAGAAATTCTCCTCTGTGCAGGACACAAATCCTGCACTTAAGAGTCTCATCTGTGGCCCAGGATTACAAAACAAACCACTGTCTGTGATGACTATCAAAATACCAACTTCTCCTTAGTGTTTAAGGAACCACTGGCTGCTGGTTTTTTTAATCTCAACACTTAATCATACAGACATTAGACTCCAACAGTCCTTGCAGCCCAGATCCTAAGATGACAGCTTTCTCTACCCAGAGAACACCCGTACAATGCAGTGGCTACACTGTTTAATGTAGCACTTGAGAAAAATGCAGTGGAATGGCCTTTTTGAATTTAGTAGGGGAAATGATAATTCTACATTTAGGAAATACTGCAGATGTGATTGAATTCTACCAAAGCAACTCAAGCTAACAAAACAGTTCAAAACTATTTGTACTCTAAGGAATGTACTCAATCTGAAATGGCAATAAAGTCTGTCTGTGAACAGGGACGGCGCACTACATATTATAAAGCTCATTTTCAACAGGAAAAAAAGAAAACAGTTTAAAAAATCCTGCATCTTCCAAGATCTTACTTTTGAACTAGAATCTCTACAAAATAGATACAAGCTTCCTGATATGCCATCTCTTGTTTTTTAGAACATTTACTTAAAGAAATTTATTCAAATTGATTCCATTAATAGAATAGCTGATTGCAGTGTTGAATGAACCTGTTTGTAGTACCTGGCAGTCAATCTCAAAGCTTTTCAAAAAATCTCCAAAGAAATTCATTAAGCATAAAGAAATACCACAGGGTATATGCAGAAATAAAATGGGCTCAAATTAAACTGCTGAGTGCATCTGAATTTCAAACAGGGCAATAAATATATAATTTTGTCAAAAACCAGGGGAAATGCACAGCTTTGCAGATTTCACTACAAAACCAAAGAACAATATTAATGCTTTCCCTCAAACCCAAATGATTAAAAGGTTCCTACATGCAGATGAGAATAAAGTGAATAATTAAATTGTGAAGCAGGAAAATGTATTTGGAAAGGCTGGTTGTACTGTATTTTAAATGCCAGCCACAGACTAGTATATATTACCTCTAAGAGGCAAGTGCACAGCTATTTGTTAACTTCTGCAGTTAGCACATTTCATTAAAAGAATTAAAATTTCTGATCAAAGCTGTAGAATGCTCTGGCATGTATCTCCAGAAGCTCAATGGCTGGGGCACTTGTTTAGAAGGTAAGAGATTAATCTCCCAACTCATAGTGTATCTTATTAAGGACAGAGATTCAATACTCAGATCATACATCCATAAATATTCAAAAAGTTCTTGGATACCACTGGCCCCTAGAAGATACTTCACATTATAATCTCATGCTAAATGGGGAAAAGCTGCTTGCATGTACTATTTCTCTTTGACATCAATAATTCTGGAATGCTAATTGCAAAATGAAAACAATACTCTGCTTTTAAGCATCCTAACACCAGTAAAACAATGACATTGAAGTCATCCTTAGCACAAGCAAATAAAAAAAGTAGTTTGATTCCCATGCATTGAAAATGGAGGTGCACTGAAATTCCAGTTTTGCCCCCTCACTGGTCCTTGATTGATTCAGGAGGCAGTTTCAATCTTCTCTTTCTGTACTCTCTTTTCAGAAATATGTCTTTGTAGACAAGATTAAGTCCGTTACTAGATCTAACTATTGACAAACTGTTAATCCATATAGAGGTAAACCACATTTTCTTAAGGCAAGAAGCAAAGTGCAGAATGAAGGCTATCCATATCAGGCATCTTGTATTTCACATCAGCACACACATACACAGCAACTCTTTGTGAATACCAAAAAGTGGACTGAATTTCTTCAGTTTACTGCTGACTCT